GCTACGAGCATGATTTGCTACTATATTATCTTAGCCCGCTGCCACCGCTGCTTAATATTGAGCGACTTGTTTATTCGACTGAATTATTCGACTGGATTATTCGACTGAATTATTCGACTGAACTATTCGACTGGTTTATTCGACTGAACTTTTCGACTGAATTATTCGACTGGTTTATTCGACTGGATTATTCGACTGGATTATTCGACTGAACTAACTGACTGATTTTATCGACTGGACGAGGCCACATGAAAATGTCAAATACCTCATCCACCCCCCACCCCCGCCCCACCCCACCCCCTTTCTTCGTTTATATCATATATAGGGACTCTATTCTTTTCGAGGCGGACAAGGACAGCTGTCTAGTCTTTCGGATGGGACGAAAAACCGAGGTCCCGTGTCTACATTGGAGTGGACGTAAAAGATCCCTTTGACAGATGGAATTCGATATAAGAGTAGGCCGTAGTGCCGCTGTCCGGGCAAAATTTCCCTCATCGCACAGTGTATGGCGTCTGCCCGTCTTCATTAGCCCAGTTCCAAGCAGAACAGAAGGACGTTAAACCCCATTTCATTTCTTTTCATTTCTTGAAACTAGTTGGGAAGCCCCCCGGTCACTACCCCATGCCCCCGGCTCCTTCAGCTATGGCTACGAGCATGATTTGCTACTATATTATCTTAGCCCGCTGCCACCGCTCCTTAATATTGAGCGACTTGTTTATTCGACTGAATTATTCGACTGGATTATTCGACTGAATTATTCGACTGAACTATTCGACTGGTTTATTCGACTGAACTTTTCGACTGGTTTATTCGACTGGATTATTCGACTGAACTAACTGACTGGTTTTATCGACTGGACGAGGCCACATGAAAATGTCAAATACCTCATCCCCCCCCCACCCCCGCCCCACCCACCCCCTTTCTTCGTTTATATCATATATAGGGACTCTATTCTTTTCGAGGCGGACAAGGACAGCTGTCTAGTCTTTCGGATGGGACGAAAAACCGAGGTCCCGTGTCTACATTGGAGTGGACGTAAAAGATCCCTTTGACAGATGGAATTCGATATAAGAGTAGGCCGTAGTGCCGCTGTCCGGGCAAAATTTCCCTCATCGCACAGTGTATGGCGTCTGCCCGTCTTCATTAGCCCAGTTCCAAGCAGAACAGAAGGACGTTAAACCCCATTTCATTTCTTTTCATTTCTTGAAACTAGTTGGGAAGCCCCCCGGTCCCTACCCCATGCCCCCGGCTCCTTCAGCTATGGCTACGAGCATGATTTGCTACTATATTATCTTAGCCCGCTGCCACCGCTGCTTAATATTGAGCGACTTGTTTATTCGACTGAATTATTCGACTGGATTATTCGACTGAATTATTCGACTGAACTATTCGACTGGTTTATTCGACTGAACTTTTCGACTGAATTATTCGACTGGTTTATTCGACTGGATTATTCGACTGAACTAACTGACTGATTTTATCGACTGGACGAGGCCACATGAAAATGTCAAATACCTCATCCACCCCCCACCCCCGCCCCACCCCACCCCCTTTCTTCGTTTATATCATATATAGGGACTCTATTCTTTTCGAGGCGGACAAGGACAGCTGTCTAGTCTTTCGGATGGGACGAAAAACCGAGGTCCCGTGTCTACATTGGAGTGGACGTAAAAGATCCCTTTGACAGATGGAATTCGATATAAGAGTAGGCCGTAGTGCCGCTGTCCGGGCAAAATTTCCCTCATCGCACAGTGTATGGCGTCTGCCCGTCTTCATTAGCCCAGTTCCAAGCAGAACAGAAGGACGTTAAACCCCATTTCATTTCTTTTCATTTCTTGAAACTAGTTGGGAAGCCCCCCGGTCACTACCCCATGCCCCCGGCTCCTTCAGCTATGGCTACGAGCATGATTTGCTACTATATTATCTTAGCCCGCTGCCACCGCTCCTTAATATTGAGCGACTTGTTTATTCGACTGAATTATTCGACTGGATTATTCGACTGAATTATTCGACTGAACTATTCGACTGGTTTATTCGACTGAACTTTTCGACTGGTTTATTCGACTGGATTATTCGACTGAACTAACTGACTGGTTTTATCGACTGGACGAGGCCACATGAAAATGTCAAATACCTCATCCCCCCCCCACCCCCGCCCCACCCACCCCCTTTCTTCGTTTATATCATATATAGGGACTCTATTCTTTTCGAGGCGGACAAGGACAGCTGTCTAGTCTTTCGGATGGGACGAAAAACCGAGGTCCCGTGTCTACATTGGAGTGGACGTAAAAGATCCCTTTGACAGATGGAATTCGATATAAGAGTAGGCCGTAGTGCCGCTGTCCGGGCAAAATTTCCCTCATCGCACAGTGTATGGCGTCTGCCCGTCTTCATTAGCCCAGTTCCAAGCAGAACAGAAGGACGTTAAACCCCATTTCATTTCTTTTCATTTCTTGAAACTAGTTGGGAAGCCCCCCGGTCCCTACCCCATGCCCCCGGCTCCTTCAGCTATGGCTACGAGCATGATTTGCTACTATATTATCTTAGCCCGCTGCCACCGCTGCTTAATATTGAGCGACTTGTTTATTCGACTGAATTATTCGACTGGATTATTCGACTGAATTATTCGACTGAACTATTCGACTGGTTTATTCGACTGAACTTTTCGACTGAATTATTCGACTGGTTTATTCGACTGGATTATTCGACTGAACTAACTGACTGATTTTATCGACTGGACGAGGCCACATGAAAATGTCAAATACCTCATCCCCCCCACCCCCGCCCCACCCCACCCCCTTTCTTCGTTTATATCATATATAGGGACTCTATTCTTTTCGAGGCGGACAAGGACAGCTGTCTAGTCTTTCGGATGAGACGAAAAACCGAGGTCCCGTGTCTACATTGGAGTGGACGTAAAAGATCCCTTTGACAGATGGAATTCGATATAAGAGTAGGCCGTAGTGCCGCTGTCCGGGCAAAATTTCCCTCATCGCACAGTGTATGGCGTCTGCCCGTCTTCATTAGCCCAGTTCCAAGCAGAACAGAAGGACGTTAAACCCCATTTCATTTCTTTTCATTTCTTGAAACTAGTTGGGAAGCCCCCCGGTCCCTACCCCATGCCCCCGGCTCCTTCAGCTATGGCTACGAGCATGATTTGCTACTATATTATCTTAGCCCGCTGCCACCGCTGCTTAATATTGAGCGACTTGTTTATTCGACTGAATTATTCGACTGAACTATTCGACTGGTTTATTCGACTGAACTTTTCGACTGGTTTATTCGACTGGATTATTCGACTGAACTAACTGACTGATTTTATCGACTGGACGAGGCCACATGAAAATGTCAAATACCTCATCCCCCCCCACCCCCGCCCCACCCCATCCGTTTCTTCGTTTATATCATATATAGGGACTCTATTCTTTTCGAGGCGGACAAGGACAGCTGTCTAGTCTTTCGGATGAGACGAAAAACCGAGGTCCCGTGTCTACATTGGAGTGGACGTAAAAGATCCCTTTGACAGATGGAATTCGATATAAGAGTAGGCCGTAGTGCCGCTGTCCGGGCAAAATTTCCCTCATCGCACAGTGTATGGCGTCTGCCCGTCTTCATTAGCCCAGTTCCAAGCAGAACAGTAGGACGTTAAAACCCCATTTCATTTCTTTTCATTTCTTGAAACTAGTTGGGAAGCCCCCCGGTCCCTACCCCATGCCCCCGGCTCCTTCAGCTATGGCTACGAGCATGATTTGCTACTATATTATCTTAGCCCGCTGCCACCGCTGCTTAATATTGAGCGACTTGTTTATTCGACTGAATTATTCGACTGGATTATTCGACTGAACTATTCGACTGAACTATTCGACTGGTTTATTCGACTGAACTTTTCGACTGAATTATTCGACTGGTTTATTCGACTGGATTATTCGACTGAACTAACTGACTGGTTTTATCGACTGGACGAGGCCACATGAAAATGTCAAATACCTCATCCCCCCCACCCCCGCCCCACCCCATCCCCTTTCTTCGTTCATATCATATATAGGGACTCTATTCTTTTCGAGGCGGACAAGGACAGCTGTCTAGTCGTTCGGATGGGACGAAAAACCGAGGTCCCGTGTCCACATTGACGTGGTCGTAAAAGATCCCTTTGACAGATGGAATTCGATATAAGAGTAGGCCGTAGTGCCGCTGTCCGGGCAAAATTTCCCTCATCGCACAGTGTATGGCGTATGCCCGTCTTCATTAGCCCAGTTCCAAGCAGAACAGTAGGACGTTAAAACACCATTTCATTTCTTTTCATTTCTTGAAACTAGTTGGGAAGCCCCCCGGTCTCTACCCCATGCCCCGGCTCCTTCAGCTATGTCTAAGAGCATGATTTGCTACCATATCATCTTAGCCCACTGCCACCGCTGCTTAATATTGAGCGACTTGTTTATTCGACTGAATTATTCGACTGAAGTATTCGACTGGTTTATTCGACTGAACTTTTCGACTGAATTATTCGACTGGTTTATTCGACTGGATTATTCGACTGAACTAACTGACTGATTTTATCGACTGGACGAGGCCACATGATAATGTCAAATACCTCATCCCCATCGCCCCCCTAACCCAACATATCATATATAGGGACTCTATTCTTTTGGAGGTGGACAAGGACAGATGTCTAGTCGTTCGGATGGGACGAAAAACCGAGGTCCCGTGTACACATTGGCGTGCACTTAAAAGATGGGGGCATATGGGGATGAGGGAAAAAGTCAAGCATGACTTTATTAAGCCGCGGTGGCAATAACTAAGATAACACCTTAAAGTTTTAATTTGAACAATCAAATTTGAACATGAGGGGACGTAAAAAATAAACAAAAACAATGATAAAAGATACTGGAATTAGTGCGTTTTTTCTTTAACTTATACAGATTACAAACGATTCCAAAATTTTAATAAGCCATCGACCGGTTTATTCGACTGACTATTTGTTTTGGACTTAGGGTCGACTCGTTTAAATTAATATTTTATGTTTTAGAAATTCGGCGAGATTTGCAGGAAACCACAAGAATTTTGGTATTAAACTCTTGCTTCATATTTATAAAGAGGCGATTCGTCATAAATTAGTCGAATTTAACGACTTTTATTACTGCATTGTGGTTATTTAACAAACGTGTCAACTAAGAAAAACAGAAAGCACGCCATCTCAATAATATGCCTATCGAGTAGCCATCGCTGCATCCGCGTTCACCGCACTCAAAGTCTATTAAGAAATCCATTTGTATAAAATGGACCCAAACTGCCGTCAGTGCATGTATTCAAGATTCCACATGTATATGTTATTTAATTAGTCTGTGAGTGTATTCATACAAAAGAATAGCCTACATGTGGACATTATAACTGTGTGAACCAATGGTAAATTATAAACGGATTTCTTCGATTGTGAACAAACTACTGAATAATTGTTATTAAAAACTTGCCTATGTGTTTGAAATCACCACCGGTTGAATAAAATCCATTGCACAATTAAATATCCAAACCAAAACCAAAGTTCTCTCTTGAAAAGTCAATGTTTTTGCTTGTATTTTCGACAGTGTCCATCACAACATTACACATGTCACGTCATGAGCTAAACCATCATAATATGTTGAAGGGGGTAAAGGTTGAATCACGTGTGTTGTAATCACAACAGCGCACTACCGTTTCGATTTTTTGAGTTTAGGCAATACAATAGCAACTGAGACAAAGACATCGATTTGGAAACAATTGATTGTCAGTCTACTATTTATGTTTTTAAACGCCCAAACTCATTACTGGGTTCCGAGAGGAATAGCTTATTCATACACAACCGTTGCGACAGACAAGCCTTGCTTTGACCCCCCTATACGAAATGATATATCCTGATAAGTGATATATTAGCCTTCATTTTGGTTATTTCTCGGTGTCAAAGTTTGTGATGAGTTCAATTTTACAGGAGAGAACTTTTTTATTCGCTAGGACATATAGTTGTACAATAGATTTTATATAACTGGAGGTAATTTCAAACACACAGGTAAGTTTATAATAACCAAAGTATAGTAGTTTGTTCATAATCGAAGAAATCCGTTTATTATTTACCACGGTTCACACAGTAGTAGTAGTAGGCCTACTGTTTTTATGAATGTGGTGGATGAATAGGCCTTTTTTCAGGGCAGCATCTGTATTTTTGTAGGCACGTGGTACTACCAGTAGAAATTTTTAGGGGATGTTCAGGTTGACAAGAGGTGACTGCACACCAAATTTCAGACATTAGGGCCTACCTGAATTATTAATTTTGTTCAGATCATGCATTAGGATATATTGAATATGACTTTATGAGTAGTGGACAGATTTAGCCCTGGTAATGACATGTATTTTTTTTTTTTTTACTTGCAGGTTGATGTTATTACTAGAATTCTGTGAAGATGTCAGGCTTTAGAAGGGGACCGTCAGGTTTTGGCAATTTTGGTAAGCACAGTTGTGGTGTTCCAAATTAGATAGTCAGTCCGAAATATGTGACTCATTTTCTGGTCTTTATTGTGTTGATGACCTGGCCGCAGGAAAGATTCTGAAAGATAAAAACTTGTTTTGTATAGTAGCTAAGTGAGTAAGTGGCTTTCTAACTTGGAGGTCGTAGGTTCACTCCCTTTGTTGTCCGAGAAAGTTCATAGAGATATTCCGGCGTGGTTTTCCCTTGTAAGTATTGCAGGATGGAGAGCCTGACAAGTATCAATGAAAAAAGAACGCATAAAATAGGGTTGTTCACATATCGATTTTACTTGCTTCTATTGATTATTTTGAGAGACTCTAAATAGCACAGATGTAGAGAGCAAAAACGCAAAATTTTTGAATGTCTGCGTATTTTTACGCAACTCGATATCGATCCACTGCGACCTCTGGCTCCATGAGTGTTTTTCAGGGAATCCATTATTTTTTTAGTAAGATTGGATATTTCTACTTTCCATATATACCAAAATTGCAAATGATTTTATTGGAAATAACCACCCGATAAATACTTTTCTGGGAACATACTCTTCAATTGATTTGGTCATTATTTTGATCCACATCAATATCGTGATTTAAAACAATTTTATTAATTTGATATAGGCAGGACTAAAAATTCATTTTGTTTTCTTGGTAAATATTGACTTGGTTATGAATCATGATATGTACATGTATTGTAGCACCTGAATCGCAATATATATCGTATCGTGACTGCAGTGACAATACCCAGCATTAATTTTCACCTTTGCTTTTAATCGACCCTTTTGTATATCAGACATGAGCTACCCTCATGTACCGGTATCAATATTTCTTAATATTTTGCTGACATGTGGTTTTCATAGCAGGTATTGTTTTCAACACAACATCTTCCAACATATAAGTTTTTAAAAAATTGTATTATGTATACGGTTTCAGGGAGGTAAAACATGTGAAAATTATTAAAAACTGACATCAGTCTGTGCTTTATCATTATTCTTCTCTCTCCCTTCTGGCCCAACCTGTAACGCTGAGATATGCACTTAAAATGCACTATTCAAGGGTTCTGCCACACAATTTTATGTCCTTATTATGGTACATATAGAGAATCTCCTACAAGTCTATTTTGATATCGGGGGGTTGGATGGCTGAATGGTTAGCACGTGCGCGCTGTATCATGAGGACTGTCATTGAGTCAACTGGCGTGGTTTCAAATCCCCGGTTGTACATGACAAGGAATAGGGTTGCCTGTCCAACCTCGTGGGTTTTCTCCGGGTCCTCCAGTTTCCTCCCACTGCTAAAGACCCCTACGCGCAAGCGAATCATTGAAATAAAATAAATTAAACCATATGTTAGTCCCGAAATGACCTAGTCTGTGTCGAGTGGATGTTAAACCCCATTTCTCTCTCTCTCTCTCTTTTTTGATATCAAAAAAGACGAGTAGGAGATTTTTTATTTATCACCCAATCACCCAATAAATAAATATAATTCTTTGCTATAGATTTCACTTTTACTGAACCTGATTACATTACGGCGTAGTGATACATCATTTTTTGACAGCAATTCAACCATTGCAATGTCCTTTATATTGTCCCAGTGTTTCCATCATGGCCAATTAAATAAAAATTGTTCCTTTTTAATAAGAAAGAAGTTACTTTTAATAAAAAATGAACTGTTCTTTGAAAATAAAAAAAAAGTAGTTCCTTTTTGATTGACCAATTAAATTCATGTAAAGCGATATCTCCTAAGGAGATATCGCAGTAGATTATGAAATTTATCACTCAAGCGATATCTACTGTAGAATGTATTATTGGGTGATAAAATTTATTCAATAGTCTTTGTGAAATTTGAAATACTAAGTTTTTATTCTATTTTTGAATTTTGTAGGTAAACGGAAAGCCTTTGACAATTATGGAGGCCCCGAAAAATACCCCAGAGGGGATTGGGGAGGTGGTGGTGGATATTACGACGGTTATGGTGATGGTTATGGTGGACCTGGACCTCGTGCTGGGTATGGTGGAGGACCATCAAGTTATCCACCCTATGGTGGTGGTGGCTATAATCCCCACAAAGAAATGCAGAAAATGGAAATGATGAAACAGATAGCTCAGTTGGAATCGGAACTAGATGCCGATTACTATCATGATGTATGGGAAGGAGATAGAGGATGGAGGGGTGGGAGAAGGGAACGGATGAATGAGGGCTGGAGAGGGTCTGATAGAAGATCGTCTGGTGGTCGGTCTGATGGTGGAAGAAGATCTGGTAGAGGTAGTGGAAAGGGGTCACGATCACTGGAAGATGAGCAAGATCCTTATTATGATTCCTATGGCCGTGGCGTTAGAATTCAGAGTAAAACAACACCAGATCCCAAACAAGCGAAACCAGGACAGAAAGAGACTAGATATCGTGGCCGAAATCGAGGAAAAGATAAACAGGATCGAATGGAAATATGTGGTATTCCCAGTAAAGAAACTGTTCAGAAATTAATGCATTTCATGAAAAGTTTTCCTGATAAAGATGATCCTATTTCTACTCTTCTGGAAGGAGTTGAAGCCAGTGGTGTCAATGTCGAGGCCACTTTTAGATCTGCTTACGTGTATCTCGATGGCCTCCTCATTGGTCACTCCCTGCAAAAGCCTATTCGCTTTTCTGCATTTAGAGATGCTCTTACATGCTTGCGACGGAACACAGTTGAAGAAATTTTCGCAAGAAGCGAAAAACTTCTGAAAAACGAAGAGAGGATTTTTTTGCATGCTACTTTGGTTTCACCGATATCTTTCTCTGAAAAACCATTCGAGGAGCGTCTGAGCCTGTTGATGGATGAAATAAAAGAATGCGATCGAATCGGAACAACTTTTAATGTTTTTAGTGCTAAGTATTTTATTAATCTTGCTCATCTGATCGTCAAATTGCCTACTACCGGTGCTCCGAAAGAGGACTTGTATGACAGTCGACTGTACGCAAATGAGTTGTTCCTAGCCAATGCTAGAGGCCGCACGACAAACAATGTGACATTCAACATGTATAACAACGTAAAGACGCTATTTACAGAGAAAACCGTTGAAGACATCTTACAACATGAGAAAAGGTTTGTAGACTTCTTCCTTTTTAATACAGAGCCACAGTGTCTAAGTGAGTAAGATGCTGGCTTGCTAACCTGCAGGTCGCAATTAGCCTGTGTTATTTGTTATTGTTACCAATATTTGTTAGGGTTGCATATATTCTGGTTCTCATTCAAGGGAAGTAAATCTCTGTAAGTGTTTCTTGAAAAGAAGAACTGAACACAAGATAGCTCCTATCTTAAGTAGATTAGAACAGTTCGCCCATATAATGATTCAGTTTAAAAATGGAGAAACCAGGCTAAGACTGAAATAACCAGTACGTTGGTTATGATCAATGCACAGCACACATGTTGTCAAAACTACACCCATTGATAACTTCATTCAAAATAAAGTACTTTGAATGAAATTTTCAATATATTAATTTTACTTTATCTATTTTTTAAATATTATAGCGACAATGGCTATCTCTTTTATCTAAATCTTACATAATGCCACTTTAAGTAGTCTAATGCGTTTGCTTTAGATCATTCATTATATCTGCCATTTAATTATGTTTCTGTCCCAGTTGTGTAATGTATCCGACAAAGAGTTAAGTGGTCAGTCTAATCCTGTTGGTTTCCTCTGGGTCCTCTTTTGTTTTGTCACTGCTGAAGATCCCAATGTGCCACAGCTGGGACGGTATAAGGAGCCCTAGTTAGGGTGGATTTAATTGGTCTAAATGCTAATGGGTTAATTCTCTCTCTCTCCCTCTCTCTCATTTCTCTCTCCCTCTCTCTTAGTTTCCAGGATGATTTGAAGAATATGACGGTAGAGAGTATAATGTACAGAGGATGTGGTGCCGTAGAGGAAGATAATACACTTCAGTTACGAGCATTCCGACAGTTACATCAGTGGTTACCACCACCCAAGCTAGAAGAACTTGTTGTCATCGATAAAGATGCGTGGAGTAATTCACCATTTGAAACAATAGAGGAAGGGTGTAGAAGGTGTGGTCTCACGATGAAATGGAATTTAGACACAGTTCCACCATCAACTGTTAAATTATCAGGTAATATTAAATGGACACTTTTCATCAAGTCACGTCTAGTGGTTTAATAAGTGCTTGTGAAGTCATAAGCTCTGTCATTGAGTTAAGTGGCATGGTTTAGATTCCTGGCTTGTACGTGACAAGGAGATAGTTTGCCTGTCCAACCTCATGTATTTTCTCTGGGTCATCCGGTTTGCTACCACTGCTAAAGACCCCTACGCACATGTGAATTATTGAAATGAAATTGTACCATACCTTAGTCCAGAAATAACCTAGTTTCTCTCCCTCTTTACAAAGCAAATGAATTAAATATGATTTAATATCCTATGCCATGCAGTGCTTTGAAGGAAATCAGGCTTAAAAATTGTAAGAAACTTTTCTCAGCCAACACTGGCATAGAATTTTTATACGCCCACATCTTCATGTGGACGTATTATGCTGTCGCCCCTGTCCGTCCGTCCACAATTGTTTGTGGACTCTCTACAGGTCACAATTCTTATCCGATTTCGACGAAACTTGAAATATAGGTTTATCCCCAAAAGATCTCGGCTGCTTTCGATATTGGCATGTATCGGACCGAAACTTCATGGATTATGGCCTCTTTGTACAAAAAATCACGTTTTTAGCTTGTGGACCCTATAGAGGTCACAATTTTTATCCGATTTTGTTGAAACCTGAAATATAAGTTTATAACCCAAAGATCTCAGTTCCTTTCGATATTTGCGCATATCGGACAGTAACTTCCTGAATTATGGCCCCTGATTGTACGAAAAATCACGTTTTTAGCTTGTGGACCCTATAGAAGTCATAATTTTTATCCCATTTAAAAAAATGTATTATTATATCACCGTTACACCCTAAGGACGACTGAGTTTGAATTTCATGAAAATCGGCCCAAAATTGACAGACAAAATGGCCGCCGTTCATTCTCAAATAGCGTAAAAATATGGTATATCAAGGTTGTGGGCCCTATAGAGGTCACATTTTTTATCCGATTTTGTTGAAACTTGAAATATAAGTTTATAACCCAAAGATCTCGGTTCCTTTCAATATTTGCCCATATCGGACCGTAACTTCCTGAATTATGGCCCCTGATTGTACGAAAAATCATGTTTTTAGCTTGTGGACCCATTAGAGGTCATAATTTTTATCCGATTTAAAAAACCGTATTATTATATTACCGTTCCACCCTAAAGACAGTTGAGTTTGAATTTTGTGAAAATCGTTAAAAAATTGACAGACAAAATGGCCGCCGTTCATTCTCAAATGGCGTAAAAATATGGTATATCAAGGTTGTGGACCCTATAGAGGTCACAATTTTTATCCGATTTTGTTGAAACTTGAAATGTAAGTTTATAACACAAAGATCTCAGTTCCTTTCGATATATGCGCACATCGAAATGTAATTTCCTGAATTATGGCCCTTGATTGTAGGAAAAATCACTTTCTTGTTAGCTTGTTCTCTATCCATCTCTCGAAAATGTGGGCGTATCCTGCCTGGCAGCCGCTGGTTTATTTTATTTCAGACTACAGAGTTTTAAAAGAGGAGGATCCTAAGAATGAGTTGGTAAGTTGTAAATTACATTTATTTTTATCTTGTCACCTTCCCTGTGTCCTTCCAGCATTCTGTTCTTCCTGTTGTTTGTGTTTGTTCTGTAGTCATGGTTACAGTTTTCGAGATGTTAGCTCAACATAATTACTACTCCAATATCTAAGTTACAGTTAAAGCCTCATTACCTGCCTTTACCCCTAATTTTAGGGCATGCTTGATTGTTAGTCTGGACCAGAACTTCCTGAATTGTTATCGAGTGCCACACTTCTGTAAGTCCTGTGAGCAGAATCGTGATGTAATTAATTAACCATCTAGAGTTATTTTGATAACTAACAAGAGCATGCCAGCTTTCCCAATATGACAGACTCTAATTTTAAGAAATAATTTTAGACTGTTAGTTCATGCCAGCTTTCCCAATATGACAGACTCTAATTTTAAGAAATAATTTTAGACATGCTAAAAGTACCTTTGGTTCTAAGAGGAGGGTTAAGCACAATGAATATGTATCACCTGTCATTGTCGGTTGAGGTATCTTCTTATACAGTCTGGGGGGTTGGATGGCCGAATGGTTAGCATGTGCGCGCTGTATCATAAGGCCTGTAATTAAGTTAACCGGCGTAGTTTCGAATCCCTGGTTGTACGTGACAAGGATTAGGGTCACCTGTCCAACCTCGTGGGTTTTCTCCGGGTCCTCAAGTTTCCTCCCACTGCTAAAGACCCCTACGCGCAAGCGAATTATTGAAATAAAATTAAACCATATGTTAGTCCCGAAATGACTTAGTTTGTGTCGAGTGGGTGTTCAACCCCATCTCTCTCTCTCTCTCTCTCTCTCTCTCTTATACAGTCTGCAATTCCCCTTTTCACTCGGTGTCACAATTTAAGGAATTGAGAGAGTTCACTTCCAGAACGTTTGATCGTGTATCATCTTTAACCCTTTGATTGCACCCCAAAGAATGCAACAATTTTTTGTGTAATAGCATAGACCAGAGGTCTCAAACATGTGGTCTGCGGTGGAACGAATTTCAACAAACTGATGTGTCGATAACAGTTGAAATCATTTAAAATCATTTATTATTGTTTTCTGGTTTCAGTAAAACTCTGACTTCTGTATGTATTTCATAGATATCTAAGTTGTATGTAATACAAGAGAATGTTGTGTTCAATATTATATCTTGGCAGTTAAGAAACGTGTCTAATAAAAAAATTACCTGTGTCAAGAACGTTTGGCTCTGTTTTTAAAATTCAGTAAAGTTCAAGGACATTTGACTTCATCTTGATATTTTTGTATCTCTCCAGCCCACTTCATGTAAAATATTAGGTCATGTGGCCCCTGTATCCAAATGAGTTTGACACCCCTGGCATACACTCTCCTACCAATTGTAGCTGGGTAAACTGGAATACAACGATGAAGTGTCTTGTTCGAGGACACGCTAACTCAAGAATTAACACACAATTTGAGTCTTGCTCACAAATGATTGTGTTAAGATTCTTGTCAAATCTGTTTCATAGTCTGACAATATATCTTTTACCTTGTAGGTGTGCCAATGGTTTTCTTCAATATCTAAAGCCATCAGCACAGCTAAAGTAGACAAGCTCAACATGTTCACGTAAGTAGACAAAATCATTGAGTTCACATCATTAAAGTAGACAAAATCTCCCAGATCTCATCATTAAAGTAGACAAAATCACCCAGTTCAATTAAGTAGATAATATCATCCAGTTCACGTTAGTAGACAAAATTACCCTGTTCACATAAGTAGACAAAATTATTCACATAAGTAGACAAAATTACCCTGTTCATATAAGTAGACAAAATCATCGAGTTCATGTAAGTGGATAAATTCATCCAGTTCATGTTAGACGACAAAATCATCCAGTTCACGTAAGCAGATAATCATCCAGTTCATGTAAGTAGATAAAGTCATCCAGTTCATGTTAAGACGACAAAATCATCCAATTCATGTTGGTAGATAAGTTCATCCAGTTCATGTTTTTAGATAAGTTCATCCAGTTCATGTTAGACGACAAAGTCATCCAGTTCACATAAGTACAGTAGAATCTGTATGAGCAGCCACTCCTATTCAGCGACATCTCCTTGTAAGCGGCCACGATAAATTCCCCCCATAGAAATTCTGTTGTTTCATCTCTTTATTCAACGGTCACTCCTCCTATAATATTACAGAGTTACACCCCCTGTAAATAGGTGATAAAATTAGCGATGTTTTTTTTCTTCATGTGCTTTTTTGATAGAATAAAATTAATTCATCGATTTTCTTCACAAAAATGGATAAATATTATCGAATGCATCACAATGGTAGACAGTAGTATCGAAGGTTGGTACAAAATGATAAGTTTACAGAAGTTATGTCCGAGATTTGAGTAAAGAATTTACGTTCGGTGCAAGATTCAGCGACCGTCAAATTTACCGCTTCCAATGCATTCAAGCGTAATATTTAATTTATGTCAGCACAAAAAGCACCAAGATTTTATTAAGAGGCCACTCCCGTTATGTCCGAGATTTGAGTAAAGAATTTTTGTTCGGCGCAAGATTCAGCGACAGTCAAATTTACCGCTTCCAATGCATCCAAGCGTAATATTTAATTTATGTCAGCACAAAAAGCAACAAGATTTTATTAAGAGGCCACTCCCGTTAAGCTGTCAGTTATGAAAATTCCCTTGGGTGGCTGCTTAATGCAGATTCTACTGTAGTTAATCATCCAGTTCATGTAAGTAGATAAAGTCATCCAGTTCACATTAGACTACAAATTCATCCAGTTCATACAGTAGATAATTATCCAGTTTATATAATCATCCAGTTCATGTAAATAGATAAAATAATCCAGTAAAGCGCAAAATCATTACATCATTGAGAAGGAATGTAAAAAAACTATTTATTCTTGACTCAATGAAGTGTAGTTGGGTGGCATACTGCATGGGTATGCCTGTCTTCATTAGCCCCAGTGATGTGGAAAAGTAGAAGGTCAAACTCTAGTTTATAACATTATATTTACAGGTGTAAATTAGAAATAGAAGGTACTAAGATAGGAGAGGGTGTTGGTACCACCAGAAAAGAAGCTATTAGATCAGCAGCTTGTAAAGCATTGAGTAGTCTCGTTAAAACACAGACTATTGTCAGGGTAACAATAACATTTTTACATGCTCATAATTTTCTTTCATGACTTTTAGGGATGGGTGGTCGAATGGTTAACACGAGTCTGTTGGATCATAAGGTCCGTCATTGAGTCAAGTGCCATGGTTTTGACTCCTCGCTTGTACATGACAAGGCGTAGGGTCACCTGTCCAGCCTTGTGGGTTTTCTCTGGGTCCTCCGGTTTCCTCACAATTCTAATGACCCCTATGAACAAGGGAATTATTGAAATAGTCGCGAAATGACCTAGTTTGTGTCGCGTGGACGTTAAACATCACTCTGTCTCTCTCTCTCTCTCTCTCTCTCTCTCTCTCTTTCAGTTATGTTGTAATTTACCCGCTTGTAGGGTCACTTTTCTAACTTTGTGGGTTTTCTCTGGGTCCTCCGGTTTCCTCCCACTGCTAAAGACCCCTACGCATAAGCGAATTATTAAAATGAAATTGAACCATATGTTAGTCCCGAACTGACCCAGCTTGTGTCAAGTTGATGTTAAACCCCATTCTCTCTCTTTTATGATTTAACTTTGACTTAAAGTGGCTGATCGTCATTCGCATTATTTTGAACAATATCAACGCAATATCAAACAATATTAATTCAATCTAAATAGAGCAAATTATTATATTGATTTGAACAATTCATGATTTTTAGGAGTCTGAAAATGCACCAAAAATGGTCCAGAATTAAAATTGAGACTTCCGTTTTTAGTAGACAATTCCATTACAGATGTTTTATGTAAAAGCTAAATCTGCCTATTGCAGCTCTTTTGGCCTAAGATGTTAAATAAATCGTTAATTATACATTTATTTACATGGCACGCCCATAATCAACTCTCTAGACCATCGGACGGATTGAAACACGTTCGCCATTTAATAATTTAATTTAAAAATAAATAATCAAGACTTTGTTATTATCATAACAATGATACCATTGAAAATTGAGACTGCGCTATTCTTAAAACAATCAAGTAATTTGACTGAGATTTTCAATATATTCCCTTTTCATTATCTATTTTTAAACTATTATAGCAAGAACTGTCAGCTCCTTATAATCTTACATAATGCATCTTTAAATCTAATTTCAGTTTTCCAATAAGAAAATGTATGGAAACTTGAAAGAAATCCAGTTCAATGACATGAAGCAGGAGGCCATAAAGCTACGAGAGGAGATGCCTGAACCTCCGAACTTCGATGATTTCTTTATGGAGATAGATGAAGGCTATCATGATAAAGATGAGGATGATGAAAATCAAGATGGGTTAGAGCCGAAAGGCATGTCGGAAGATAAAAATGATAAAGACAGTGATAAAAAAGACGAAGAATCCACCAAGGCCGAAGACGCTGGGGTTAAAACTGAAGAAACTTCAACCAAAGAAGAAGAAAAAAACGAAGACAATAGCGAGTCCGTTAAAAATGAAGACGGTTCGACCAAAGAAGAAGAAGAAAAGGATGATGAAAACAGTAAATCAGAGAAAAATGGTTCGACCGATGGCAAAAAGAAAGTGAAATATTCGTTAACTGATCCTTTTTTAGCAGACATGAAAGGTATGGTCTTTATACCATGATCATATGGTGAATGAAATGGGATTTAATGTCCTGCTCTTCTGCTACATAGGAGATACAAAGACAGGCATACACTATGCAGAGGGAAATTTTGCCTGGACAGCGGCGTTACAGCCTACTCTTATTTCAAATTCTAATGTGTACATTGGACATTGGTTTTCCATCCCATCCATACGACTAGACTTTGTTGCTTTCTAGGCCCTGCATCCCGTGAAAGAGGGATGATTGAGTGGTCTAGAAAGGTATGGTCTTTTAATCATGGGGGAGGGGTGTTCGAGTGGTCAAGAAAGGTATGGTCTTTATACCATCAGGAGTGGTCGAGTGGTCTAGAAAGGTATGGTCTTTATACCATGGGGTAGGGATGGTGGAGGGGGTCTTGAATAGTATGGTCTTTATACCAACGAGGAGGGTTGACAAGAAATGTATACCATTTAATTAAACACAACAAGTCTGGCCTTGTTTTTGGTTTATTTGGTCACATCCGAAAGACTCCATGGTTTTGCATCAAACCTGGAAAAATCCATGGAACTTTCTCTATACCGGTGGCTAAGTGAGTAAGATGCTGACTCTCTAGTCTGGAGGTCGCGGGTTCGATCCTGTTGTTGGCCGAGAAAGATCAGAGGTTTTTGGGCATGGTTTCCTCTTTTCAGAGTTTGGATGGGATGAAAAATGAAGCTCCTGTGCACCAAGGTCATAAAATGATCACCTAACAGTACCAAGTTTGGTTTTCGACGATTTTCCCACATTGTGCCAAAACTATGAAATTCTTTACCTGTCAATCTCAAAACTTCGCAGTGTTTTGAAACTTTCAAATCAAAACTAAAATCTCATCTGTTTAAATCATATTATAAACAAACCTACGGCATAAGCATACATGTACTGTTTGGATGGAATGCGCACAATATAAATTTTCATTATTATTACTATAACACAATAGCGTGCACATAAAAAATTCCTTGACAGTTGGAATTCTATATAAGAGTAGGCCGTAGCGTGTCTGTCCGGGCAAAATTTCACTCATAGCACAGTGTATAACGTCTTCATTAGCCCAGTTGGTGCTAAACAGTAGGACGTTAAACCCCATTTCATTTCATTTGAATTGAACCCAGACAAACTTCAGGGATCACGGTGGCTAAGTGGATAAGACGCTAGCTCGCTAGCCTGGAGGTGGGGTGTTCGATCCCTGCATTGGCTGAGAAAGTTCATCCAGATTTTCCGTCGTGGTTCCCCCTTGTCAGACAGCTGTCTAGTCGTTCGGATGAAAAACCTGAGGTCCCGTGTACACACTGGCATGCACGTAAAAGATCCCTTGACAGTTGGAATTCAATATATGAGTAGGTCGTAGTGTTGCTGTCTGGGCAAAATTTTCCTCATAGCACACTATATGGCATATGCCCGTCTTCATTAGCCCAGTTCGGAGCAGAACAGTAGATCGTTAAACCCCATTTCATTTCTTTTCATTTTCATGACAAACTTCATTTTACTCACCGAACCATTCTGACAGTCTTAACTGAATCTGCTGTTGGGTATTTTTCAATTTTCGTTACCTGGCAACCTGTATATTTTATTTTCAGAATTAGAAGAATTGATGCCGTGGATAAAAGAAGTCATCAAAAGAAAGATGGAGGCATTTATCAATTCCGATTCCTTTTTCGGTGTCATGGTGTTTAATGTCCGACAGCCCGATTTTGTTCGTTTGTTCATACGAATCTGCTGCTATAAATATCGCTTGTTCACGCTGCGGAACAGAAACGAAAAAACAACTAAAATCGTTATTCAAAGAAACAATCCTAATTTTACACTGAAGCAAATCGCGGAGAAGTTGGTGAATTGTGAGTTAAACTCTAAAGATGGCTACACCTTGATACAGATGAGGCAAGCAGATGGAACTGTTAAACAATATCAATCTAAACCTCCAAGACGAAGGAGGTAAATCAACATTGAAAATCATATTCAAATTGTTTCATTTTTTAGTGTAGGTTGTTTCTTGCTGAATTTTCTCCCCTGAGCCTATCATGGAATTAGAAATTGAAAATCATTTTTCACGAAAGGGAAATAAACATTGAAAATCATTTTATTATATTGTTCTATTCAGATTATTTCATTTTTTAGTGTAAATGTTCCTAATGTGTAGATTGTTTCTTGTTGAATTGTCTCCCATGGATGGAGAGTTTTGTGCACTCCAGTCCCAAAGCATGATTTCATTAAGTGTTTTGTGTACCCTGAGGTGTAGGTTTAGTTTTCCACCCATAATGTTAGTTTGTCTGGAATTAAAAATATTGAGTTCTGAAGTTATAACTCATGGTGAATGTTTACGTCTCTATGACCATTCGTTAATGATAACTCAAGCAATGACGTTGGATTCTAAGTGAATCATCCTCGGTTTATCTATCAGACGGATCTGGGTTTCTGAGAACAAGGTCTTGTTGGGTACCAAGTTCTCGTATAGTTTCAAGCACAAGAGAATATTTGTTGAAACAATGTGCTAACAAGCGATTCTATTCCATATACCATTATTTGTGTTTTTAGTTCAACACTATCATTTTAGTCATAACTGCAATTTCCACAAGGTAGGCGTGGTGGCTCAGTGAGTAGACGTGGCTCGCTAACCTGGAGGTCATGTGTTTGATCCAGGTGTTGGCTAAGAAAGTTCATTGGGATTTTTAAGCCTGGTTCCCCCCTTGTCAATGGTGCAGGACATAAGGCCTGGCAATCCCTATTTCAGTTCTTTTCATATACCACAAGGGATAATCCTAATAGACACTATAGCCCGGGTATCATTTAATCTTGTCAATTTAGCACTAATTTCTTTCACATTCGTTTCATATCAAATCTTTGTTTAAATATTCGTAAAAATCATTTAAAATCACCCAAAATCATCTAATTTATACTTTTGTCCAGTTTAAAGCTGACTGATTAATTTTGATAATGAGTGTTCAATTTTCAAGTATTTGATTTCCTGACCACTGTTCAAAAATTAATCATTATACATTAATAATCGATAGATCAAAGATAGGATTGTTCCTACTGAGTCCTCGAACTGGTACATGAAGATACATTCAGATATGTTTCAGTACGGTCAACACGATTGCTACGATTGACTTCAATAAATGATATGACCTGATAGGATCACCACAATTAAAACCACAATTTCAATCATAGCGCAAATCGTAATAGTGGGAATTGAGCATAACTAGCAGTGATATAGACTAGTTGGAGAAGCTACCTCTTCGTCATTTTACATAAAATTACAATTTCAAAGAATTCAACTTTAAAACACAATTAATACAATTAAATTTATAGTTTTTATGGCTAAAACACTTAAAAGTTATTTACAATAATCATGATACTGTCAAATTATTTTTAAAAATATGTTGCTAATCTGAAATACCTAGAAAATGACCTACTGACAAAGACCCTGGTGATGACCATTATGACTTCGTTATGTTGTATCGTAGTTTTAGTTTCTTTGTTTATATATTATTGTCCTGTGTTATTATGTTGTTGGATTTAAGAATGAAATACTATGTATTAGATAAGATAATGATCTTCAGCTTGCTTTTTAATTTTTTCTAGGTTAATGTCAATTTGATTAAAATACAGATCCTTTTTCGTTTCGTATTTTATAGTTCAAAATTTCGTTAGTGTTAGTATACAATGACCCGGGTCCTCCATTTTGGTTTACTTGTATCAAATAACTATATGATATGTAAAACTTGACAACGTTAAACTTTAAATATGGATGTTATGGCGAGTTCTTGGTGTGTGGTGCATAGAACTGTGGGTATCCCACTAGAAACATCAACGCTGATTGGTTAATCAGATGTCTATCGTCATAGGGTCAAATGCAGCTAATATGACCCCTGACACGACTTTCCACTACAACTAGTAGTGGAGGACATTGAAAGTATAAAAAAAGGAAATGTAATATAGATCTGTATTTTAATCAGTTTGGATTAAAGTCGGTTATTATTGATGTCAACATTTTCTTACTCTATCGGCTTTAATGGGCAGGTGGGTGGGTTGAGATCTATCCGCAGATCCAGACACAAATATAATCTGCATATAGGTTATGACATGGGTTAGGATACAACGACCCTGGTTCTCCATTTTGGTTAATTTGTATTAAATAACTATATGATATGTAAAACTTGACGATGTTAAACTTTTAATATGGATGTAAATTGTCGCCAACTTCGTCAGTCAGTCTTGAAGGCTTTTTTTTCTCAGATTTTATCCAAATTCTCGTGGATTTTTGATTGGATCATAAGAGAGAATCGTATCTAAATTAGAACATTTTTTGATAGTAAATTACTTAGTTATTTCTCCATTTTATGATCCAATTTATGAAATCTTGTGAAAACAGTAAAGGACAGAAGTCACAAGAGAATATTCAAACACTTGCTTGAGATTTTCATTGAGGCATAAGGAAGAACCTTATCAAGATTCAAACTTTTTAGATTGTGTATTACTTTCTGGTCACATTTTACTTTTAAATTAGACTAGAAAATTGTGACAGAGTTCATATTGTATTTTTTTAACCTGCCTTTAGGCATTTGTTGACATTGAATATTTAGAGCTAGTAGGGGTGACTTGGCTGAATTTAAATGTCATAAAATATGTCTGCATTGCAAATTTGAAAGTGAATATTCTGATCTGCATTATCTAATTATGGTTATTATCATGCTAAAGCAAAAACTCCTGAAGTCGTTTTTAAGGACACAAAACACTGAGTACAGAAATTTTAGTTTAAGACTCATTGCATTCTTGTTCCCTCATAGCACACTATGTGATGTATACCTGTCTGTGTTCATTAGCCCAGTTGGAGCAGAACAGTAGGATGTTAAACATCCATTTCATTTCATTTTGTTAATAGAATGAACACCACAGGGGAGCCACAGTAGCTCGGTCAGTAGGATTTTGACTTGCTAACCTGGAGGACCTGTGTTCGATCCCAGCATTGGCTGAAAAAGTTCATAGGGATTTTCTGGTGTTGTTCCCCTCTGTCAGTGATGTGGGACTAAGGGCCTGGCGAGAGACAAGGTATGGTTTCCCCCCACTGCTAAGGACCCCTTTTATGATTGTCAGTAACATTTATTAAGGTCGAGGGGGGTTGTTGGGTGGCTGCATGGTCAACGTGTTGCATCATAAGGTCTGTCATTGAGCCAAGTGGCATGGTTTCGATGCCTCGCTTGTATGCAACAAGGAGTAGGGTTTTCTCTGGGTTGTCTGGGTTCCTCCCACTGCTATAATGACCCTGTGCAATTTATTGAAATAAAATTGAATCATATGTTAATCCGCAACTGATCTAGTTTGTGTGAAGTTGAAGGTAAACCCCATTTCTCTCTCATTTAAAACACTGTACTAATTTTTTAAAAAAATGACTAAGGCAGTTTTAACTTTAGCTTGACAATATGAACTATTTGTCAACTGGAATCCAGTTCAATAAATAAAAATGTCCATGCATCAAATATTATAGATCAAATATAATCTCATATATTTGTCATTTATTTCACCTTTTATGCAGATTTAGCTTCATCCCATATTTTTGCTTTGTATTTTTGTTTTGTAAATGTAATGTAAATTTTAACAAGATTCAAATAAATCTACAGAATAATTCCATTGTTTAGACTAGAGTATTTCACGATTGATGGAGACAAATTAATTAAAGATATATAACTTTGATATATTGGACTTTAATTATTTTATTTATCTAGTAACAAATATGAATTACAAACTCAATTATCTGTATCATTTCTTTGGCTAAGGGGGTGGGGGTGTCTAGTGGTTTAAAGTGTGGGCTTTAGATCATAAGGTCTGTCATTGAGTCAAGTGGCATGTTTTTTTTTTGTTTTTGGTTCTAGGTCTTGTACATGACAAGGAGTATGAATGCCTGCCTGACCTGGTGGGTTTTCTCCAATTTCCTCCCATTGCTGAAGACCCCTAAGCGCAAGCGAATTATTGAAATAAAATTGAACCATACTAGTCCCGAAATGACGTAGTTGGTGTAATGACCTAGTTGGTGTCGGCCCATCTCTCTCTCTCTCTCCCTCTCTCTCTCTCTCTCTCTTTGGCTAACAAGAAAGGTCTTTCGAATGGTACGGAAAACCAAGGTACACAAATGTGCACATACGCGTTCACATAAAAGATCCCTTGAAGTGTAGCTAGAAGTGCCACTGCCCAGTTCACGCATGACCAAATTGCAAAATAAAATATTGTCTGTCTTCTTTTATCCATCTGCTGTAAGGTGTTGATATTCTCTCGGATACCGCTGGCGTTTTGCCAGGATCTGTATTTCCAACATTATATATATTACACGTCTGCTGAGTTGTGTATGATTTTAATCAGATTGGGAAAGATGAACTATGATATGTGAACTTTCCAGATAGAACTACATGTAATTTATATGTGGTATCAGATGTTTCTGAATGAGTATGTATACCCCTCTTCGTCATGGTGGCTAAGTGGTAACATACTGGCTATTTAGCCTGGAGGTCGCTCCAGTGTTGGCCAAGAAAGTTCATCGAGAATTTCCAGTGTGGTTTTCCCCATGTCAGTGGTGCAGGATGGAGGGTCTTTTGTATGCCGCAAACAAACGCATTTTCTTACTATTCCAGCCCGCGAATACAGCAATTTCAAATTGGCTTAATAGCCTTTAGTTTTACAGTCCAAAGAGACGGGACCGTCGGGGGATAATTCGTGAATACAGCAACTTAAATTTGGTCCAATACTGCCTAACTTAGATGGCTGACCTGAATCCCAAATAACCAATCAATCGTTGCCGAGTATGGGGGCTTCGTCTTCCGGGGAAAAATTTTAAATTTAAGCGCCGCAAATGTGTTTTTCTGCTATTTCAGTTTTGTAACGGAAATCCCAATCCCCACCACCCTGCCCCCACTCCCTGGCCTATGTGTTGAAGTTGTGTTTTGCTTTCTTATGGTTAATCCGCCACTGAATACAGCATATATATACAATATACGATAATAGTCATATGAATAAAATTTATAATATAGTAAACATAGGTATAACAGACGAATACAACAACCGTAAAGAACAAAGCCTAACAAAACACAATTTAATTAAATCAAATATATATCGGGTCCAACCGTCCTAGAATTATCCAAGTTCTGAGCTGTCATTAGTGTTAACACCACACATTAATGCTTTCAATGCCTATGTCATCCAGAAAACAATGACGGACATTAAAGTCGTATAAGGCCTATTAAAATGCAAATTCTAACGGTGACCTGCCTCCATTAGTGTTAACAATGCAGATCCATGCTTTGAATATCTGAGCCACCAATACCAAAAGCACATAAGATTGAACTACAACCGTTACAGTCTGAATTATACCAGAAGCCTTTCTGATTACGCACAGCACAGTTAATGTCGTCGTTCTCATCATTGTCTGCATCTCTGGTAGAAAACATGGTGCCGTTGATCCGTTCCAGTTGATCGTTCGGAATGAGAAATGTTTGCACAGAGTCGAAGGTTATCTTGTAATTAAAGGTACTATTGGCCACTTGAACATTTTTATAAAGCATGTATGTAGTTGAAGTTAAAGCTATGCTTAGATCGTAAGGATATGATGACGTCAAGATATGTATATTATCTAAACTCTGCATGTGGTCAGCGTTGACATTTCCAAATCCTCTCTTGAAATCTTGCAAGTCTCTATTTAAGAAGGAACTGTCTTCTTGTTTATTTCGGAGAATGACCGTTTTATTAATCGAATTTTGTTCACATTTAACCAGAAACGCCGGTAATGATGCTACAGGCTGTATTAAGATCACTTTGTTGCCATTGCAGTGACATTCTGTTGAAATAAAAAAAGAGTTGTTTTATTTTAAAAAAATACTTGTATAACCCGGAAGTTTCTCGGTCTTACATACTACATACCGTGGGTCTCGAGAAAAATGTAACGAAAACGTCGACACTTGTGCTAAAGATACTAAAAGCGACTTTCTCGGCCCTAGATACTGTAGGTCTCGAGACCAATCTAACGAAAACGTCGACAGACATTAAAGGCGGAGGTGATATTGTAGTGAAATTCTGTTTTTTTTTCATAACGGCGATATTTAATATCAGTATATTTAATAATTGAATAGAAGTTCAAGTTGCAGATGATGTAGACGTTAAAGATGGGTATTATCATAGAAAATGTCGAATCTGCATTCAGTTTGCATATTTGAATCCTGTGTATAGAATGTCTAAATCCCGTATCTAGAATCAAGTGCACTTGTCTGTATTGAAATATTAACTTAGATACAGAGTGTCGGTCTGTATTCATACCACTCCACCCAACAAATATCATTTTGTAAATAATAAGTTAAGTATCAAAGATAATATCACCACATTGTTATGGCGCGATGCTCTGTAATACCCTCCTTCAAACATACATCACAACCTAGCCGCGACTTAAAATATGGACATGGCAAGGTCTTTGTCAGCGTACTGAGGGCGTGGCGGAGTCATGGTAGGGACGTGGAGAGCGCACGAACTCACTACGCGGGTACGGAACATGAACTCTACCCGCGTAGCGAAGTCGTGGTGATACAGATAGCGTAGTGAGAGCATGGACTGAGTAGGGACAGTCTATTGAGAGCGAAGATCGCGCAACGCTCCAACACGTGGGGACATCGTGGTGACCGCGTGGCAAAAGCGTGATGGGCGCAAGGTCAGTGTCTTGCTTATCATGCTTTTCCACTACCACCTTGCTTTGCGGGTATGGTGTGTAGTGGGGTCGTAACTTAACCCAGTCTCCACGTTCCTACCATGACCACGCCACGCGCTTACTACGCTCATGATTCTATCAGACATGATCTGACGGATTTTTTAATGTCAGGACACCTTGAATATACTAAAAATCCGCAGCCCGAGGCGAGGTCTTTGGAACAGTGTGGCAATCATACTTAGGAGCGTGGTGTCAGCGTGGCGCGGTCTTGTAGAGTGTGGCAGTAAGAATGCAACGAGGACGGATAGGCGTGTGCATACCTTGTACATACTGACAGCGTGTTTCTCCTGCATTTCACTGTCACCTCACCTCGTAGCAAGGTATGCGTTATGATCCCGTCAGACCGGGCTGGTATCCTTACTGCGCTGCTGCGACCGTACGGCGACAAAAAAATACACACGGTCGCCAGCAAACGTGAACATTACGTGAGAAAATATCCAAAAAAATTACAAACTGGAAAAAAGTCTCTTTCTTACCGCGTTCTTACGGCGCGCACGCCACGGCCTCTCCGGGCTTATGGCGTTTCTATTGAGAGCTAATGGCTTGGCAACGGCGATCATCGGCGAACCTGCGGTGCTCTAACGAAGCTCATGGGGTTCTAACTACGTGTATTTTGTAAATTTTAAGATGACGACATGCACACTGATGTATGAACTTGAATCACCTGTTTTTAACGCAAGTCGCATATGAAAAGCATGGTCACCATAGGAGGGTAATGCAAGCTTGGTAACCGCGCAATGGTCGCGTTATATACTCCATAAACGCAGTGGGAACCCCATAAGTTGGCCATAGGCGCACTGGGAACCACATGGAGAAGTGGTGCAATCATGCAACAGTGACATCGCCATGACAACGCGATAATGACTCTTGCCCAGGGTCATGGCAGACACGCGAAGGTCGTGGTGAAGACGCCATGAAGTTGCCTTTGCAAATGTAACAATTTTCGCGGCGTCTTTGCCACGTTAGTACTGCGGGTGTACTGCGTTCATGAAGATGTTACCACGATTGCCTCACGACCAACAAACGCCAAGACTCGGCGACCATGCAGACCACAGCACGATATCTGGCGTTTCCACCACGCTTATGGCGATCTTGACGCCCTATGAAACCATTTTCCGTCTCCATAGAAACGCAGTAACGACGCCATCCCGGTTCGACCGGGGTATTATGTATGAGAGAAGCTTTTAAGATAGATTAACTCACAGAATAAAATTCAAACCTACCTGGATGAACGGTGCTGGGATCCACCTATAAAATATGTAAATTATATAAGTAAATACATCTTTTATAACATTTGTGTCAAGCGACTGACAAATTGTTCATATATCATTGGATATTGCAATAATAATTTTTGTTTGATATTTCATGTGAATTTGAAAAATATAAAATATATTATTGTCCAGTAATAAGTGAGATACAATTTGGAATTGGCAAATGCCAAGATGCGATTACGCGGCTTGTTTAGTTTTCCTGCTTCAGGGGATTTAGGTGCGATTTGGATTATACGGTATGTCCTTGAGCCAAATGGCGTGGTTTAGATTTCCCGCTTGTACGTGATACGGAGTAGGGTCGCCCTTCCAATCTCATGGGTTTCCTTTGTGTTCTCCGGTTTCCTCCCACTGCTAAAGACCCCTAGGCGCAAGCGATTTATAGAAATGAAAAATTGAAGCACATGTCAGTCCTAAAATGACCTAGTTTGTGCCGAGTTAACGTTAACCCCCCCTCTCTCTCTCTCCCCCCTCCCTCCCCCCACCTTGTTGCCGCTTACTCATCACTGAGTTCGATTATTTTATGTGCCTACCTATGTGTATACGGGATCTCGGTACGAATAGCGACTAGACGCTGACATGGGAAACCACACTGGACCCGAGGAGCCCCCCCCCCTCTCTCTCTCTCTCTCATAAACTATAAAATTAAAACCCTCTCATAAACGATATAATTAAAACCTGCAATGTAGAATGGGTTGTTCACATATTTCAGCGAACATAAGTGAATATATATTACAATAATGTGAGTTATTTGAAATTGCAATATGTTAAGATTACAAAGAATAGCGATATACGCCCTTTATATTCTACTTACAGTTGAAGATAATGGCATCAATTCAGTTGTCACCAATTCGGGAATTGACGTCTACAAACATAAAAAAAAAAAAGCTGAGACAAAATATACCGTGGAAGTTGGAATTCGATACAAGTGCAGGTCGTAGCGCTGCTGTCCGGGCAAAATTCCCCTCATGCTATACTGTATGACGTATGCCCGTTTTCAGTAGGACGTTAAACCCCATTTCATTTCATTACAAACTAACTTTGTAAATTAATTTAGCCTCTCGAAGTAACGGATAAAGTATTTTAATCGAATATAGATATAGATATTAAGCTTAAAAAACCAAAAAAAAACCCCCCCAAAAACAAAAAAAAAAACCCCAAAAAGAGAAAAAACCAAAAAAACAACCAAAAAACCGTTGTAGATTGTTTTAAAATAAGTGTGTAAATTAATTTAATCTGATATACATTCAGGGCTCACAAAATGATTGTGTACATTAATTAAATTTAATCATTTCAAATCGATGCGGTTGATCTACCACTTGTATACAATTTTAATTTATTCAAAGGGGCATTAGGTAATGAAAAGAGAATATGATGAAAATTTCAGTCAAATTGCTTCACTTTGAACCTAGATATTAGCGATTCAATTTTAGGCTAATCTCGGTCGTCATTACTACCGTTGTTACGATAATATCCATTTTTAGGTTATTTCATCCACGATAAAACGTATTCAAATACACTAAATATCGCAGGCTAACTATGGCATCAAGAGTTGATTGTGGTTTTGATAAGTTGATTAATGTCTAAATAATAATTTAGGTAACATTTAAGGCCGATAGAAAGACCCGCAATAGGCAGATTTAACTCTTGCACGATGTTGGTTTAATCTACTTACTGTTTCAAGTGAAATTTGGGTTGTTTCATCGCTGCCTGGGTTCAACCCAGGCTTCCCGGTAATAGCATAAACAACATTTGGTACATCGCTACCGGCAACACACGCTGTCTTACTTTTCATCAATAAGCAGGTATTGTTTTGTTTCTGAAATATCACAGACTTGCAGGAATCGTTCTGAGAACATGTTGTTAAACAATGAATTCTGCTCTTGACTTGAACAGCTTGGTAATCCACAGTTTTATTATCTGTACAATCACCAAGAACAGCTTTAAAATGTACAGTAACAATATTTCCAGCTATACCAGCTTTAATCAACGTCATGGAGAACAGAATAACAGGAATAATTCCAGCAAGAGCCATGTTGCATACCACCTACCACTTCTTCGTATACCAGCCTCAATCAAAATATACATATATAAAATGTTTAGTTGTATCAGTTTTAATTAAAATAATGTAAGAGATAATTCCACTAAAAGCCATGTTACCGCCTCTATCACATTTCAATCTAATTTATCATATTAATATACAGACTATTTTATAATCTCTCGCGTGTTGGGTCTAGTACGAGTAGAACCGCCTTCTATTATTTTTTCAGAAATTATATTCTTCTATGGATCATCAAAAGCAAAAAAAAAAACCCTATTAAATATTGCATATCCCTAGTGGTCTGATCAATCCCGATTGTTTTTGTTACAAATTGTCAGCACATGAGCGAAAGATTTGACAATCAGTGTTATTAATCTGGGAGAGTATCAGGAATCAATCTATAATTGATAATCGATCTTGTTCTTTACAAAAGAACCAGGAAGTTTTTTGTTATTATTATATTAACTCTTTTGATGGGCACTTACCATCAAAGTGGAACTGGGTTTAATTAAAAAAAATGAAATGAGATGAAATGGAGGTCAACTTCAATGTCCGGGAAAATGAAGATGGACGTACGCCATGCAGGGAGGGGATGTTGGGTGGCCGAATGGTTAACACGTGCGTGTGAAACCATAAGCATTAAGTTGCTTGTTACTGTATCCAATTTATTGATATTATTCCCTTCATGGATGTATATATGAATTCTGAATAAATACTTCTTAAATCAAACCATAAGGCCCGTGCTTGAGCCAAGTGGCGTGGTTTGAATTCCTAGCTTGTACGTGACAAGGATTTGGGTCGCTTTCCAACCTCGTAGGTGTTCTACGGGTACCCCGGTTTCCTCCCACTGCTAAATATCCCCTACGCCCATGTAAATTATATAAATAAAAAATTGAATCATATGTTAGTTCCGAAATGACCTATTTTGTGTTGAATTGACGTTAAACCCCACCCACACCTTTCCCATCCCCCCCCTCTCTCTCTCTCTCTCTGAAACATATGTTAGTCCCGAAATGACCTAGTTGTTTGATGACCTAGTTTGTGTTGAATTGACGTTACCCCCCACCCCCCTCTCTCCCCGTGTTGCCACTTTCGCATCATCGAGTTCGATTATTTTACGTGCACACCTACGTGTATACAATAGCGACTAGGCGCTGACTTCGACTAGACGCTGACAAGGGAAACCACGCTGGACCCGAGGAGCCTTCGAGGCCCACACAGGGATCTAACCCAGGGCCTCTTTGTTTCTAAGCCAGGGCCTTACTCACTGAGTTACCGTGGCCCCTGTTAATAAAAGAGGATGAGATGTACACATGTACTTAGAACAAAGCCCCACTTATCAGTAACTAGGTTATTTCGGGTCTGACACGTGATATATTTGTATTTAAAGGAGCTAAATCGCTAATATTTGGGACCTACAAATTGACACAAATGGGTCGCAACGTATATAATAATGTAATATGAATGTATATAAACTGATTTACATTCAATCGTTTCCGTTTTTACTCTAATTTCAAAGCAGTTATGTTCGGCGAAATACGCCAGAAGTCTCAATCGAATGGCAATCTCTAGCGTCTGGTTATTCCAGTCTACACCGATAGTATTTGTTGCGCATGCTCTCCAGATAAGAATATGGGGTCACCATTTGACATGACTTGTGGAATATGTCTAACCTCGTTCTTCGAGTCGTTTGCTACAAATTGCGCTGAAACGCATTATGGTACATGATTTGTGTACCAATGGTAAAATGTTTATTTTGTCTTAAATATTGGATATCAGAAGCCCATCTTTTCCCGGTAAGATCACAACATCAATGTTGATTTCAATTGACAAATAATTCGTGTTTTGAAGGTCGAAGGTTTTGGATGATATTGAGTTAGAGACTTAGCTACTTTAAATACTTGGGGTGTACTCGGAGAAAACCCACGAGGCTAGACAGGAAACGCACGAGCATGGAATTGGTCGCATGACTTGCATGCAAGACTTGCCTTGTAATCTAGCCCACTTGGCAACCCAACACTTAGCTTATCGAGCAAGTTAGTTAGTTGAACTTTGGAATAATTATATGGCACATGCCTTTAGTTAAAGTATACATCGTTAGATTTCTTCGGATCCTCCGGCCTCCTTCCACTGCGAATTATTGACATAAAATTGTTCCATGTCCATAATGTTAGTCCCAAGATGACCTAGGTTGTGTCGAGTAGACATTAAACCCGAATTCTCTCATCCCCACCCCCTCCACTTCAATATCTTCACGAAACAACATGATTATAAATAGAATAAAATTATTGACTGATCAGATACGTTTAATTAATGTAGAATAACAATGGAATCGGATAAATATTTTCATTTTATCACTTTGACAATATGTTTATTTTATGTAACACAACAATAAAGTCAAATGAATATTATCAGAAATCTATCTAGTAATAAAATCATACATCCGTGTTTAGCACAACAATAAGTTATAAAATCTGGCATGTCAAGTCAACAATAATCAAAACAGTCATTCTATGGAAGCCTATAACTACCATTCGTAATTTCTACTTTTCCCAATTTCAGAACGCAAAAGTTGAAAAGTCGAAAAGTCGGAAAGTAGAAGATGCGACAAAATGTACGGGTACAGCACTCACACGAACCGAAGATCGACTCGAAAGTAGGAAAATTAACATACCGAGATATTAGCGCGCCTCGTTTTGTCGTGACTAGCTCTTTTCGAGTTATAGGCTTCCATACTATTCCCATTTTTTTTTTATCGATTTTCAAAATAGTTTTACTATTAAGTAAAGTGAATGTAAACACAATCGGTCGCCACACAAATTTATGTTTGCAAACCTTTTAACTCTGTAGATGATGACTGAACTTTAACTTCACCTGCATTATAGGTTTACGTTTGACGTCACATAATACGGCCCCGTCAGATCATCCGGGTACAATTGGTGCTTTTTACTCATTTTATGCCTTCGCGTGCTATATTATACACCCATTTATACTAAATAGGACAAAATTTTTATCCAGATATATTTCCAACACATTTGTTTTTTTTTCTAAGAATGTTATTTGCAGAAGAAAACATTTATAGACAGGCCCAGTTAAATTACTATTTGTCTTGGCGCAGGTGATAATGTCCCTCTAATATTTTAGGAATATGATTGGACTCAAAAAAGGGACAAAACGTCAAATATGTAACATAACCCGATGCACTTATTTCCTGCAATTAAAACATAAATCTGTTTGTTCTAACAACAATAAATTATAAAATCCAAAAAGTCAACAATGTTTACATCATAAATATTTTATTACCATTAACATCTACTTAAAAAAAAATATCACTAACATATCACAAAGGAGAGATAAGCATAATAATTTAATTACCTATTGTTATGATGAACTATCCAATAGATTTGCTTTATTACAATAGAGGAATGCCTATATATAGATATGGATATGTATGTATGTATGTATGTGGGTGGGTTGTGTCGGTGAGTGCGTGGAGTAAGGATCGCATCAGAGATTTTAAAATGGATACTGATTCAAATAATGGAGCAGATTTAGTGTCTAAAATTTATTCACCAATTACTATTTGGAAAGTTTTGGTTATTATCATATCCGTTTGTCATATATTCCCAAAATGGGGTTGACAACTTGCTGGGAGAGAGCGCCATCCGTGCAAAAACCATGTCTCTGAGAAAACAAGACGACGCGTTGACTGGAACACACCCATTACAGAATGAATTATACCAAAACCCGTTCTTATTCAAACCAGCACAATTAACGTTGTTGTTTGTATCAAGATCCGAATCTCTCGCAGAGAACATGGTACCGTTGATCTGTTCCAGTTGGTTGTATGGATTAAGGAACGATGCAACAGACTCGAAGGTTATCTTGTAATTAAGGGTACTATTAGCCACATGAACATTTTTATATTTCACGATCTGATAAACAGATGATTCAGACATTGAATCAAGCATCAACATTAGATCGCAAGAATAAGATGACGTCAGGATATGTATATTGTCTAAACTCTGCATGTGGTCACCGTTGACGTCTCCAAATCCGTTCTTGAAATGTTGAAAGTCTTTATTTAAGAAGGAACTGTCTTTCTGAGTATTTCGGAGAATAATCGCCCCATACCATTCGGCACACCAAACTTGAAAAGGCGGCTTCAATGATATAGGTTGTGTCGTTTTCAATTCCAAGGGGTATATGTTGCCATAGTATAGACATCCTGCTGAAAGAGATAATACAACTCACTCATTATCATCATAGTTTGGTCATCTGCTTGTTATATGTTTTCATTTATAGCGGGGATTACGTGGCTAAGTGGATAAGACGCTAGCTCGCTAGCCTGGAGGTCGGGTGTTCGATCCCTGCATTGGCCGAGAAAGTTCATCCAGATTTTCCGGTGTGCTATGAGGGACATTTTGCCCGGACAGCGGTGCTACGACCTACACTTATATGGAATTCCAACTGCCAAGAGATCTTTTACGTGCACGCCAATGTGTACACGGGACCCCGGTTTGTAGTTCCATCCGAAGGACTAGACAGCTGCCCTTGTCAGGACCTCCGTCCTGTCTAAAAACCAAACAGGCGAAACGTTGTGTAGCCAACTACAAATCCTGTACTCAATTGTTCTCATTAGATCAACACCAAACACCACTATAATATACAAATCTCTCAACGGAAAGGTTCTTAACCACGGACTGGCAGACTAACCAGAAGATCTTGGTCCTTAGGGTTTCCGGACCGACCCACCACCCCTTAATTATAAGTGAAGCAGTACCAGTGAGATCCGCAACTATTGAATTAAGTGTAATTGAATATGGACTGATAGCCTTATAGTCTCAATAAATAACACAAACCTGAATCTATGGTACCGTAATTCGCCTGAAAAAAAATATTCATATTCGTAACTAAAAAAACATTAGCACTAATTTGATTACATTTCAGTATTTGATTTCATTGTATTAAAACCCTTGACTTGTAATTCAATGGTATCCACATTATGTTCGAA